ATAAAAATCTTAAAGATTTCTGTTTTCTGCTTTCTCGTTCCTGAGAGGACTGATTATCTCAAGCATGTGAAAATACAAGTAAAAATGTATTTCATTGAGTTTTATAAAAAATGTTTTCTATTTTGGCCTAAAATGTGTAATTCCTTCCCAGTTCTTGACAATTTTAATTTTAGTGAGTAGCTACTTGTTTTTAAAATGGCTACTATAGTTTTGAATAACAATGTCCAATATGGTAAATTGTGTTCTTTTTTCCCTTTAATTTGCTATGCTCTTAACTGATATTCTTATCATCGAGTAGAAAAAAACACAATGATGTATGGAGACAGTATCTGCTTTCATTGTTTTGACATGTAAAATATGGAGTCCTTACATTGTCTGTAAGGACTTAGAATGCAGATTATTGTTCACCCATCCAACTGCCTCTTACTAAATCAGTTAGATATATGCAACAGATTTAAACCTTAAAGCAGCTCTGCAGTCATCTGGGGTTTTTGCATTTAAAAACAGATAATATAGAAGGATCGGTTAAAATCAGTTCAATAAGGTGCTACAATCACCTATTTGGGTTACTCCACCACACAAAAGTGCAATACAATCAAATAACAAAATATGGTGAGAGCACACTAAAAAACATAAATATTACTACATATGAAAATTCGTATAATCCTGTAAATCAAAACAGACAGGAAAACACATAGGGTAATAACGTTTAGAAAAAGTGAAACACTAATTAAAATCAGTCTCACTCACATGCTGCCGAGCCACGTCAAATAAGCTGGCTCAGAAAAAACTTTCTTTTGAGAAAAACTAATGCCGAAACGCGTCAAGTGTATTTATATTGTTTAAGTGGACTCTTAAACTTGGATTTTATTAGCGGTCTTTATTTTTATGTTCCAATAAATATTTTATTCCTGGTATCCTGCATCCTGGATTCTCTATGGGAATGTAAATAAGAACAACAAAAAAAGCTGCTATTTTATTTTATCCATTCAACGCCTTTAGTCTGAGCCATCTTATTTTACGTGGCTCAGCAGCATGTGAGTGAGACTGATTTTAATTAATGGTTCACTTTTTCTAAACGTTATTACCCTATGTGTTTTCCTGTCTGTTTTGATTTACAGGATTATACGAATTTTCATATGTGGTAATATTTATGTTTTTTAGTGTGCTCTCACCATATTTTATAATTTGATTGGGTTTTTGCATAATTTGCATTGCAGTTGAGGGTCCGGTGGCCATGGGGGCAGGGAAAAATTAGATTTACTTACCTGAATTCGTCCCTTGCAGGCACTGCCATCTTCTTCTATCTACTCTTTAGCTCCTGGCACTTTAGCTGCCAGGAACTAACGTCAAGCACTGTACTCTCACGCATGCTTGAAAGTACAGACGGCATTGAGGTCTATGGAGAATCCCACCAGACTTCAGGATGCTCCATAGAAAGAGCTTTTCTTCCCTACAGCCATCACAGCTGGCGGCTGGGGAAAACCGCAAGATTGTCAAGGAAAAATCTTTTTGTCAAGGAAAAATTTGTTGAGAAACAAATCCTGAGACAAAGTATATCTTTTGACTGGGTTTTGCAAAATTCACTTTAATGTTAAAGATTTGATCCTCAAACAACATTGCAAAATTTAAACTAAAGTAGACAAGGTGTAACCATAACTGACTTTGACAACATTTCCAAATTGTTATTTTAGCATAAGTTTTGCAATTCAGTTTTCAATTAACTACAAATTTGGGACCCTCAACTACTTCAGTGGGTTCTCGGTAGTTGGGACTGGCCCAACAAGTTTGTCTGGGGCTAATCAATTGACCACAAAAAACATGTTCATTGTAGAAGCTTTATATTCCTCCTTGCAGTGAATACTGTGAAAATGTAATGTACTGTAGATGTTTTGCAAAAAGCATTTTATTGTTAATTGTGTAACACTTGAGGAAAGGATTACTGAGATATTACAATTCTAGTTGTAACTTTTTCCATATCAACAAAAGGTGAAGGACCACTACCCTATTCAGTTTTCTTAATTAAGTTGTCTAATTTTAATACTGTAGCATGTTCATGGTATACTGTATGTTAATGTTTATTGTGGTTTAAAATGCAGAATTACCTGAAGAATAAACCTGGTGGCCTGAATTTACCTTTAGGGGCGGTGTTCATTTAAACAATATCCTGCTGTTATGTTGATTTTAAAGGGACACTGAAGGTATACAGTTTTTGTTTTTTTTTAGCATGGATGCATGTATTAATATATCACTTGTTTCATCCTCATGATTTTGAAAGCATGATTTTAGATAAATTTCATATATTATGACATCCATTATTTTATATGCTACACCACTGTACCCTGCCTAACAGGCTACTAACAAGACTAGATTAGGAACAAATCTGTGATTAAAATAGTTCTTCCTGCTGACTTGACTCATATACATACACACACATATAGGCATAATGCAATAAACGCAAACACACATACATACAGACATTCACTCACTCACTCACACAGAAACACACACTGTTTACATATCTCCAAACCACCCTACTAAAACATAGGGGAGAAAGTGTTCGGAAACATATCTTTTATTTTTGGTTGTTAATCTTAATAATGATTAAATTGTTCTTAACATGAACCATAATAAGTCAGCTTTTTTTTAACTTAAATTCTGAAATTTTTTTTTTTGCAGAAAAACACATTTGAAAAAAAACCTTCCAAATGTAAATAGGCAGAAAAAGAGAAGTAAAACAGATTTGTTTTTGGCAGACAAAGTGATGGAACAATTGATAAATCTGTTGTACTGACGACAAAGTGGCATACATTCAGATACGATGGTTAGGGAGCAAATAAATCAACAGTCGGAAAACTCCCCCCCACAACAGATTCAATAAAAAAGGTACAAAACCGTCTGCAACACTTCTCCCCAAAAGTTGTATTTCTCCTCTTTCTTGTATACAGAATAAACACAAGACAATGGTATCCATTGATATCAAGGTGTATGACATCACGTGAGGTGTGGAAATATAATTTCCAAGTATGTATGCGACTTTGGTGGGCATGAACAATTTTAGCACCAATACCTGGATCATCTGAATTGGAGGTCTCTCCTCTCTATAAAAACCCAGGACATACTTGAAAACGAGAGAAATCTCAATGTATCTTTCCTGGTAAAATATTTTATAAATAAATATATGTTTAAGTAGTTCGTACTTGAGTGTGATAAAACAGAAAATATATAGTTGGCAGTTTACTTTAGAGTTGCCATTTTTTTAAAGTATCTCTAGGCAGAAACATTCCATGCACCATCTTATACGATTTTAAAAACTGTCCATACCTTTAAAAAATCAGGTGAAAGATCTCCATCTAACCTTAGGCATGCGGTTAAGGAGTTCAAAGAGCCATTTGCGGTTTTCTGAACAGTGGAAAGCTGTGAGCTACTCTGCAAATCACAGATTCTGATTGGCAGCTGACATCACATGTTCTTTTCAGTATTGTCTTGTATTAGTGATTGTCACTTAGGGTTTGAAAACTGTTAAACAATTCCAAGATGGTTGCCACCATACTGAAATGATAACAGATCCGAAGTGTGGATTACTACTAAGAATACTATAGCTTTGTAAGATGAAAATAACAATAATGAAAACTGAATTAAACTGTTTTAAACTCATTCATGCAAACCAGTTTTTTACATGATAGTACCACTTTAATATATGTGTGTAAGATTTAAATTTATCAGAAGCAATCTGAAAAGGTTGATATGTACAGTTTTTAAAAGATTATGGATACTGATAAAAAAGGCAAATTGATTTTTTCAAAAGGTATAGCAAACACTGGCATTTGCAAGACTCCAAAACAAAAGGTGGAAAGTCCTGCGAAACCACAAGATTCTCCATAGAACCTTTTGTGCACTAAGATGCCATAGGCCACCATAGTGCGAGAAATAGTCCAATCCCATCTTCATCAAGTGATGGCTGATGGAAAATGGCAAACTGACTTAGTTTTGCCATATTTTGACTAGAATCAGTGGTAATCCTATTTTATATTATATAATTTACTTATGTTGGAAATGGACAACTGATGGGAAATGGCATGATACAGCAGGCAGAAACTGATTAAAGCACCAACGTTTACCATATCTTTGCCTGGGATCAGCAGTAACCTATATATTGTGTTATATATTTTATTGCGCTGTAATTTCAATTACAGTCCATTGCAATATATATGAACTTTTCAGACCTATTAAAAGCTATTTGCTTTAAGGTTTTTTTGGGTTTTTTTTTTTTTTGCAAAAACCTTGACAAATTTGAGCATGCACATTAAACCACATACATTACGGTACCATGAGCTGTAATATAATTTAGAGTTATTATCCTGGTTATTTAATAATGCGTACAATGGTAAAGTAAGGTAAATATTAACTAAAGGTACTTTTTTTTTTTACCAAGTGGTGTAATATATTGAGATACGCTCCTGCGGTTATTTTAAATTTTTTTTACGTGATGGCAAAAAAGCTGACGTAACGTATGTAAACTTCATATGCTGCACAAGGGGAAACAGTCATGGAGAAGAGATCACAATAATTGTTGTGATTAATCAGTTATCTGGAAACCCTCTCCAGTGGTGAACCCTCTTATTATCAGACTTTTCGTCCTATATTTATGCTACAACAGCAATAGTCACCTGATTAAACTTATTCATTACATTTAGCTGGATTAAACCATGCTCTAGGCCCCTGATTACACAGAGAGGCCAGCAGGCATTGTATAATGTACTGTTATAATAAAAACACTATTTTAGCGCCGAGATTAAACGGCAGCCATTTTGTTGGCTCCCACACCATTTTACTGAGGACTCTGGGAAAATGGCCTGCGGGCAAACAAATGGGTGAAACGCATCCTAAGCATCGCGTCCATTGGCTAGCTTTCCAGCCCCGCCTCTGGCATCGACCAATGAGGTTCCGAGCTCGTCTCAACAAAAGAAGCGCGTCTTCCTTGTTTCCGTTTTGACCCCGCCTTTCCGCCGACCGCTCGTCCAATCAGCGAGCGAGGAGACCCACTGCGTCGCGAGGCCGCGTCCAATCGCGTGTGGGGGGGCGGAGCGTTGTGTTAAGGCCTCTAAGTATCGCAAGCCGCGCTCTCTGTTCAGGACGCTTTGCACACGTGGAAGGAGTAACACCGGGAGTCGACAGGTGAGCGCAGAGCGGGCTGTTTGCCCAGTCCGGGGGAGGGCGGCTTGGCACAGGGCCGCTCTCTCGGTGTTAGCCGGGGTCTGGCTGAGTGGTTACCCCGGGGATTCAGGCCTGCGGGGCGGGCACAGGCCCAGGAAGCGGCAACGTACACCCACACCGGCTTCACATACACAGCCGGGGCCGGGCACAGAGCCGGGGCCGGGCACAGAGCCGAGGGTGGGCTGTCCCCGCTCTGATCGATACAGGCCCGCCCGGGCCAGCTCTCCGGAGAAGCCAGGCGGGGACCGACCCCCCCCCCACACACCGGGGGCGGAGAGCGCTAATCGGGGCCTGGTCTCCCGGGGAGCCGGCAGTTGGAGTATCCCGGGTAGCCGGGGGTTAGTGCGGCTGCCGGGGGGGGGCTGGGGAGCCAGGCCCGGTGTGGGGGATCCTGCCTGGGCCCGCCAGCCTGGGAAGCCGGCAGTTGGTGGATGTCGGGCCCGGGTCTCCTGGAAGCTGCATGGCTGGGGAGAGGGCTGTGTGGAGCCGCTAAGCGGTGTAAACACCAGGTGCAGTAGGCCTCGCGGCCTGTTCTCCTCCTGGGCTGACTCGGTAATGGTTCTCGGTATTTACCAAGAGTGCGGATTGTGGCGGTTAATACCCCGCTCCCAGGCACACAGTGACCCACATAGCGCTACTGGGGGCCGCCATTTTGTTCAGCTCGCTGGTGTTGGTTTGACATGCAGTGGTTATAGTTGTGGAAGCTTTAATGCAGTTATTGCTTAGTGTGTGTATAATGGCTAGTGTATTGTTAGTTTAATATGTACATCTATATTCAGCAGACAGTATGTGGCTTAGATATTGATACCATTCCCACTTCATTTATTTTGAAAAACATTATTTCTGAAAATATATAGACTGGGGATTAATGCATTGTTTACAGTTAAATGAAATTAGTGGGAAATTGGGAATTGTTATTTATTTGACCAGAATGAATGCTTTATATTCATTTGCCTTGTGACTTTAGCTTGTCAGAGCTGGGGTGAAAGGGTGATATAATAATTATACTAGCATGGCCATTTTGTCCTGACATTTAGAGTACGTTTTAGGTTTCTGCAATTCCCATTTTAGATGTGGCTTATTGGGTTATTGTGAGGCTAGTGTTGGAAGTATGTGAAACTTTAAGTTTGTGATAATGTAGTCTGTTTACAATGTTTAATGCATGCCCAATTAATCTGCATTGTAAATTTTTTTTTTTAGTGTAAGATCGATTAGCATTAGTCTATCAGTAAATTATGAGCGTAATTTGGTCAACAAAAATGTTTTTAACAGCAATAGGCATTTAAATTGTGTGATCGTACATATCAAAAGGACAATAGACTGTAATATGGCTTTTTTTCTGGATTCATACAATCAATGGTTCTGACTTTTTAAAAAAACAAAAACAAATTATTTTTGAGGGTGTATAGATTGAATGTAGTATTTACTTATTGGTGAGATATTTGTAAATACAGGAAGTGCAAAATTTTGTTAGCTGCCAAACTTAGATGTCAAAAAATGTGTGCATATTGTCAATGCATCCTATGCTGTTGACTATACCAGATTTAGGAGACAATATATAGGAAATTAAATTGGTACCGTGGTATTTTGAATTTATTTTTGTATGTTCTGCTGCTGAGAACCACACATTTAGTGCTTTGTTTTAATTTGGGAATGTAGGTCTTTATATGGGAAATAACACAATTTAAAACAGTCTAGTTATAGTAAATGCCATAGAGAGATTCAAATTTGCACAATAAACTGTAAATACGGTTTATTATCCATCTATGCACTATGTATACTGTGAAGTTAGTTTTGCTTAGTTGTACATTCATCTTTTTTTCTTCAATAATAAATGGTTCATTCTAAGATTCGGGTGACTTTGCGTACGTTGCCCTGAATTTGTCTTTGCAACTACCATCCTTTTGATCATTTTATTTCTTCTACTAATAGTCCATGCCAGGCACTGTTCGTAATGCTTCTTCCCATAGGATAAAAAAAATCACTGTCCTTGTCCTTTTAGGTATCATGACTGAACAGGATGTTGAGAATGAGCTTTTGGACTATGAAGAAGATGATGAGCCACAGGCACCTGCTGAAACCCCAGCCCCTACAGGAAGAAAAGAAGTGAAAGGCTCCTATGTGTCCATACACAGTTCTGGTTTCAGAGACTTCTTATTGAAACCAGAGTTACTTAGGGCTATCGTGGACTGCGGTTTTGAACATCCCTCAGAAGGTTGGTATCTTCCACATTTAGTTTTTCTTCCACTGCTTGTATCTCTCTTCCCATCTCTTTATGGGGCATTTAAAACTATGGGTGCATTCCCTCTGATTTGTTACTTTACAGTATTTTGAAAACAGAAAATACACTGAAGCCCAGTCATTTGCAGATTTTATTTCCTCATATGTCAAAAATATTTGTATGCATACATTTAAGTTATTTATACTTTCTGCTTCTCTAAATTGACATTGGCAAATGTTTTTTACCATGTTGGCTTGTACATGTTATTTCAATAATGTGTTAATCATTTTATTTGGGTTTTCTGTTGAGCACAGACTTTGTGCCCGTCCACCATGTTTTAGTTCTATCCTTACAATGTTTTTCTCCCTTTTCTTGCAGTTCAACATGAGTGTATCCCTCAGGCTATATTGGGAATGGATATCCTGTGCCAGGCCAAATCTGGTATGGGAAAGACTGCAGTGTTTGTCCTTGCCACCCTACAGCAGATTGAGGCAGTGGAGGGGCAGGTTTCAGTCTTAGTAATGTGCCACATACGTGAGCTAGCGTTCCAGATCAGCAAAGAGTACGAGCGTTTTTCAAAGTACATGCCTTCAGTGAAGGTAAGAAAGCAATTTGTATTGTCTGCTTTACAACATGCTTATGCTATAGCGGCCTTAGTAGAATTCCTGCTCACTCGACTTTTTCGTTTAGGTGGCTGTTTTCTTTGGTGGTCTCTCAATAAAGAAGGATGAGGAAGTGATCCGTCGAAACTGCCCTCACATTGTGGTTGGCACCCCTGGACGTATCTTGGGTCTTGTCAGGGACAAAACTTTGAGTCTGAAGAATGTTAAACACTTTGTGTTGGATGAATGTGACAAGATGCTGGAACAACTAGGTGAGATTTCATAAAGCTTTTGGATGGGGCTATAATATGAAATAACAGACTGTAAAAATCATAAATTGTAACTAGGTGATTTATTTTTAAATTTTAACTGCTGGCCTTTAAATCTTTGTTCTCTTAAGGAACTAATTTAGAATTGATGAGTAAATTTTGGTGGCGTTTATTTGTGCTAAATAACTTGGAAGTGTAGTCTGTACTATTTAATATATAGACATGATTTATATAGTAGATGTAAAAACGCCACAAAACATTAACTTAAGATGTGTAATCATTTTTCTATTTTTTTCAGACATGCGCAGGGATGTGCAGGAGATTTTCCGTCTTACCCCTCATGAGAAACAATGCATGATGTTCAGCGCTACTCTTAGTAAAGAAATCCGTCCTGTCTGTAGGAAATTCATGCAGGATGTAAGTTACTCTGGTCTTATTGTATGGCACAAATTAGTAGTTCTTGAAGTACATGGAAATATTGTAAAAGTCACCCAATTGTGTTTTTTTTTTTTTTTTTTTAAATGTATAACTGCTATGGTGCCCAAAATAATATAAAAAAAATATTGAAACGTAGTCAACATTCAGCACTCCCAGATGTTGGAATAAATCTCACACAATGCTCTTACAGCCACAAGGTTAGTAAAGCATCATGGGAGATGTAGATGAAGGTTGCCTAGACTAGTAACCAAGCCTAGTCTGGCAACTCTGAATAATCTGCAGGATCCTTCATAGAGCTGCAGCTGTCACCTATTACTGATGAGGGAATCGTACGGCTGGCTTGCTGGCAGTAGCTCTGCTGTGTGGCACATGTAACTTTTTTACTCGCTATGGCTAAATCTTTACTCGCTAATGGCAAGTGGAAACTTTTGAGTCCTGTATGTGTGCATACAGTGGTAATTGAGGTCATCACTTTTTTGTATTATAGTGAGTATGTGCTGCAAAGGTTTCTTCTTGGTTCAGATGTTGGCTTTGTACAGTAAGCTTAGAGCTGAAAAGCAACTCTCAAAGCATTTATATAAGGAGAAACCTGGTGTACGCTTAACACTGATGTAGAATGTTAACGAACATTTGTGATTTGCAACATTTCCACCACCCAAACGTCACTTACAATGCAAGCAAAGTGTATCCTCCTGATTATTTATAAGTGATTTTGTAATGATTTATTTTAGCCTATGGAAGTTTTTGTGGATGATGAAACCAAGCTGACACTTCATGGCTTGCAACAGTACTATGTGAAATTGAAGGACAGTGAAAAGAACCGAAAACTGTTTGATTTATTAGACGTTCTTGAGTTTAATCAGGTGAGTGCTCTTAAATTAACCCTAGATGCTTTAGTGTGTGGTATCTGCGTTAAACCTGCAGAAGGAATATATGTTGTACCTACTCTTATAATCTTTCTCTCTATCAGGTTGTGATCTTTGTCAAGTCAGTGCAGAGATGTATGGCCCTGGCTCAACTCCTGGTAGAGCAAAACTTTCCAGCCATTGCCATCCACCGGGGCATGGCACAAGAGGAAAGGTAAGCAGATCCTTTCCCTTCAAAGAGCAAACCTAAACTAGTGTTTTGGATTAGAATAGTCTTGAGCTGTGCTTCTGCTGAATGTCTTCATTCATATAAAACACTCTTTTGCAGACTTTCTCGTTACCAGCAGTTCAAGGACTTCCAGAGAAGAATCTTGGTGGCCACAGATCTTTTTGGAAGAGGAATGGACATTGAGAGAGTCAATATAGTTTTCAATTATGACATGCCTGAGAACTCTGATACATATCTTCATCGTGTGAGTAAAACTACCTTTCCGGATTTGTTTATTTCTTTAGTTTAAGTTCCTTATGCCCTATCTTTTCCTGTTCCTTAACTGGACCTGTCACTCACTTATCCTTGCCATTTTTTTGCAGGTGGCCCGTGCTGGTCGATTTGGCACAAAGGGACTGGCTGTCACATTCGTGTCAGATGAAGAGGATGCTAAAATCCTGAATGATGTTCAAGACCGATTTGAAGTCAATGTGGGAGAACTTCCTGATGAAATAGACATTTCTACTTACAGTAAGTATTTTCTGCATGCTCATTTTCCCTTTTTTGTCCTGTCCAACCTCTGCAGTGTGTATATATATGTGTGTATGTGTATATATATGTATATATATATGTGTATATATATGTGTGTGTGTGTATATATATGTATATATATGTATATATATGTATATATATGTATATATATGTATATATATGTATATATATGTATATATATGTATATATGTATATATATGTATATATATGTATATATATGTATATATATGTATATATATGTATATATATGTGTATATATGTGTATATATATGTGTATATATATGTGTATATATATGTGTATATATATGTGTATATATATGTGTATATATATGTGTATATATATATGTGTATATATATGTGTATATATATATGTGTATATATATGTGTGTATATATATGTGTGTATATATATGTGTATATGTGTGTATATATAAAATTGTTTTTCCGTTGCAGCAATTTTAGTTATGTGTAGCTTTCTTCTGAGGGCGGTGCACCCCCCTACTCCTTTTAATACATACAATCTGAATTAAGCCAGTTTCTTGCTTTTGTTGTAAGACTGTACAGCTCTTAGTGGAAATATAACCTCTACATTACTTTTCCCATAAAGCACCTGGGTACACCAGACTCATCTATGCCATGCCTAGGTTTGGTGAGAGCTCTCTGAAGCTGAAAATTAATTTGCATGAACTTAAAATATAAAAATATTTTTACAGCTGTGCCAGAGTCCTGTGTTTTAGAGGATCCTTAGACTATTCATTATAGAGGAGAATAAAACCCTGATATGTGCATACTGGTGGCATTCTGACCATTATTCATTGTTACAAATAAGCAGGGACATTATTATTATTATTATAATTATTATATATAATGCTTTGCGCAATAGTATGATCTTATGATATATCCAACCCCAATTCTCACAGTGCCACCATCAACGGGAAATAAACAATTTGGATAAAAGTATAATATACATTTATTGACAAGAGCTTTTGCTAGACATGTATATAAATATTTACATAGAAAATGTTAATTTATTTGTGCATTAACTTTTTTTTTTCCTATCTTCTTTCTACAGTTGAGCAGAGTCGATAACCTGTTCCAGAGATAGTACTGTATCCATGTGTTTGGCGTTTCCTTCTCTGTCTGGCCACACTGTGTTTGGAAAGTCTTTGCTTTTACAGTCTCTGGGGTTTTTTTTTTATTATTTTTATTAATGACTGTTTTTGTGTAAAGAATGGGGGGGGGGAAATTAAAACTTTTTTTATTATTAAATGTGTCTGTTATGATTTTCTCTATCAGGAAATGACTTAAATCCAGCGTTAAGCTGGCTCATGGGGTTTTACAGAGTTTACAAGTTGTCTTAGTAGGCAATCTGATTCCACGGAGGAGAGTGAAGTAAACAAATGTATTAAAAATGCATCTTCTATGTAGTCTAAATGAAGAAATCTGAAAGTGCATTCCGTCGTGTCCCATGGTAACTGCTCCAATTCTCAAATATGTTGAGCACCAGCAGATTGATCCGTGTGGGATGTGTTGCTGATACAGGGACTGACTATGACTTATTGTACATCCCTGGTTAACACATTCTAAAACTCCAACCTTTTCACCAGAATAGTGAATTAATCTGTCATGTCCTTGTTGTGTGCATTGTTTAATGCCCTTTAGCTTGCCAAGCATAAGCTGATGTAAATGCTGTCTATAAATTGGTTTCCTTGCTTGAAAGCTTTGCCTGCAAAAAAAAACAAAAAACATTTATATAAAACAAAAAAAAGGAATGTTCTCATTCACGAGGAGTAGAAGCTTTTGATTGTGTTCTTACTTTGCTCTGTGTGGCACTATTGCTGGTGCTGCTAAACTCGGTGTACGATGACAGACTCTTGAAGTGGATGGCAGCACACAGCCACATGGCATACTCTTCACGTACCTACAAAAAAAATTGGATTTATGTAAAATTAAATGCACGACTTCAAAAGGTGTATAGAATGCATGTGACCAGACCACCAGGTGCTTAAAAAGTACCACACCCTTACCTTTCTGAGCATCATACAGTGTAACAGGAAGATCTGCACTCCCTGGAGACAGTTAAGGATGGAGAATATGTAGGCAAAAGTAGAAGTTGCAGCACCAAACATAAGGAAGCCAAACACCCAGCAGCATCCTAACACGCAAAGCTGGGCCACTGAAGTTGCTGTAAGTGACCTGTGGGGAAATACATGTAAATGGACCATGAGACACGAAATATGCATATATCATGCACTTGTTAACAGTGTTTTCTCTCATCTTCAACCCTGCATTTACCTTTTCACTCAATTACTATACCACGTCATCACTCTTCTGGGCTGTGCTATTTTTCAATATACACATTGCAATTTCATCTAACCTGAATAGACATTCACCCAGTCTGCATTACTTAGAAAAATCATTAAAACCACACTTCAGGGCAGCTTATCAAATTAAGTTTTCCCTTCCTTCACCCTGATTCCTCTCCTGCAACTGTAAAACAAACAAACCCAATAAGCCCTCTGTGAATAAGTTTATAGCAAGCCACTTTTCTACCCTAAACATGTGTCTCTTTACCCCACTCCCTCTAGCATGTAAGCTCATTGAGCAGGGCCCTTGACCCCTCTGTTCCTGTGTGTCCAACTTGTCTGGTTACAATTGCGTGTCTGTTAGTGCTACGCTTCAGAATTTGTTGGCACTTTATTAATAACGTAGGCATATGTACTCAAAAGGTTCGGGAAAATGCTGATCTGAAAACAGGAATGTTTTCTTGATGTGGTTTGGGAGTTGTGTGATTGATATATTTCTATTTTGTGCTGCTTAAATTGGGTTTGTCCCTTGCAAATTACAACTTTGTATTACTAATCCTATAGTGCCCCTAGCCTTCCTCTGCCCCCCAGCCCGGCATGTAGAGGGTTAAAATGAGTTACTTATACTGTACCTGTGCCAATGCTCTGCCTCATCTGCCGCTGGCTAATGTGCATGCACGGTGAATACTCTCAATGCTTTCCTATGGGGATTTCACTGGCACAGAATGTGAGAATCTACAGGTCATCTAAATGACGTTAATTGTTGTGAAGCTCCAGGAAATGCCTCTAGTAGTTGTCTGGTTGACAGCCTTTAGAGCACGCTTCACCAAACTCTGGCCCTCCAGATGTTGCTGAACTACAACTCTCATGATTCTCAGCCTATATTTCATTCATAGAATCATGGGAGTTGTAGTTCAGCAACATCTGGAGGGCTGGCGGTCGGGGAAGCCTGCTTTAGATGCTGTCTTAGTCCTGCAGGATAATCATTGCAGTTTGCAGTTTTTTTTCTTAATCATTTACATTGCATGACCAAGTGGTGTGGGAGCTTATGGAGTCCCTATTAAGATCAGATTATTTTTTATTTTTGTTTTTCTACACACTTGAACTTCCTGATTATTTTGAAGACAAGATGACTGACTAATCCATTTCAAATCTTCTCTATATTTCTTAAATGCTTCATGTTGTGTACAGGAAATGTGGTCAACAGAAGTGTCAAAATTGCCAATTTCCTAATATACAGCTAAAACGTAAAAAACGCAGAACACTTTACCATTTAGAATTTTCATTGCATGATGTGTAGGCATAAACTTTCGCCAAGGCATGTGGTTCCTTGGCAGAGTGACAGCTATGCAACATCATTCTTAAAAAAAAAATACAGAAAAATATCCAAGACAAGGCTATACAGTAAGTGTATCCTTCAGGATTTCATTTTGAAGGGTGGGAAGTGGTACAGATTAATTTCTTTATAATTTAGTTCACTACATTCTCATCATAGGACTTCTCATCATAGGACCCTCTTTTCTCTTTTTATTATATTTTGAATTTGGCTTTTTCCCTGGGAGTTAATACACCATTTTATATTCTCATTTCCTTCTATGTTATAGCTACTGACTTGGATAGTTTTTCCTGTATTATTATTTATAATGCACCAGGTTCTGCAGCACTGTACAGTGGGGAAAGATAACTGCAATTGACTTCATGAAGAAAAAAAAAAAAAAGACAGATATAAAAGGTGAAAGGACTGTGCTATGAATGCTTGTTTCTCTGGTAATCAATCCCTTTTCCAGCTAACTTTTTCATTTGTTCGTGTTATATCTATTTATTTGTCATGGAGACAGAGCTTTACTATTCAGTGGCTTCATGGAGCAATAACGCTAAAACAATGGTCAAGAAAGATGATCAAATCTGTTTTCTGTACATTGTAGTTGACCTCTTTTATTCGACAGCTGCATTTTATATATCTAACTACTCTTATCTTTTTTAAGCAGCCTGTTGTTTCAGAACCTGTGACTTGGGATTATTACAATAGCTATTGCTTCTGCACCTTGCTGGAAACATCACTGAGGCTGCAGGCCATTCTGTCTCAGCTATGTCGCCCCTACAGCTGGTTTCAGTTAAAGGTGTCAGATTCACAGCTTTTTTGTTTTTGTAAATACTAGCTGGTTGCGATAGTCTTAGATGGAGGGTACAGCTGAATATTTAGTTAATAAAGGGAATATTCAGATCCTTACACTTTTCATTACAGTAAACATTTGTTGTCATGATTATTCAAAACCAGGATTGTTAATGTAGTCACCCCCCCAGTGAGGAGGGCAGCACTCACACTAACGACACCTAAGTGCAGAAATCGCTTGATCTAACTCAAGACCTGTACATGTTCCCAAGCTTGCTCACACATGAGCGAATACAATCGACTCGTAAACCCCTACATTGCACTAGGAACATGCACCTCTTGTACCACCCTCCCTGAGCTTGAACAGACATCACCAGTGTACCATGCACCATACTCAACAGAAGCCCCCTAGGGATCCACTCATGATCTACTTAAACAAAAAATGTGCATAATCACAATCACTGTATATGTGTAATATGTACAATATCACTCTGTTTATTTTTATAAAGTGACAGATATGCATCTGTGTTATTACAAAAATAAATTTAAAAAAATACCAGGATTGTTCACTAAAATGTGAACTGACTGACTTTAAATTTTAGTCAAGTTTGAGTAGTGAATATACCCCCCACAATTAAATAAATTCAATGTTTTATACCAAATAATGACATTCAAACGGCAAAATCAACACTAAAATAGATAACCTAGATAAATTCTATAGTGTAAAATCTTCAAGTTTTATAGTAACAGCGTCAACTCAGCTGGCTACAATTCATTGTTTAATGACTAAACCACTGCAGAGTTACTCAATAATGTGTAAATTGTTGGGATTCAAAGAAAATTTTAATGTTAGGCAAAAGTAGCCAAATTGGCAACAAATATGTCTTACAGTATTCTCCCAGTTTGACGTTGAGGACCAAAATGTGAAATACCCAACAATTCAAATTTATTTAATAATATAATATGTAATAATATACGTCACTAGACCTTTCCTAACCTGTACAAACTGTGTAGGCAATTTTTTCCTCTCTCCCTTTTTCAATTTATTAATTTCTTTTTGTCTTGCAGTACCTCAGATTGGTGATTTTGATTGTTCTGCATTTATACTGTTATACTTTTAAAAGGACCACTCTAAGCACTAAAACCACTTCATCTTGCTGTAGTGGTTATGGTGCAACGCCCAGTGCTCATAGCTTATCTATTTAAATATGTTTAATTTCAGACATAACATACGTTTTGGCGATTTGGAATTATTATTAACTTTTTATTATTAATTTTAGTAAAAGCATTTTTTTGTTTAATAATTGCATGCCTTTTTGGATCTAGACTTTAATTGTAATTTTTTTTCCGTTTTCAATTAGTGTTCTTTCCACTCATTTTATTTGCAATTTTTTTTAATGACCTGGTTTGGAGGTAATATTGTGCTACGTGTGTGATGTTTGTGTATTTATTGTGTTTTTCTAACACTAGTTTTGTCATCTGAGCTGAAAGCAAAAAAGTGACACCTAGTGGTAAATAATAAGAATATTATTATTTACCACTAGGTGTCACTTTTTTGCTTCCGTTAAACGTGCGATAAAATGTCAAGCGTTATCTTATCAATGCAGCTATAATGGCTGCAATAAATACAGCACTCAAAAGTTGCTGGACATTTTGAAAGAGCGATATTGATGATTACGCTTTTAATTGACATCTTTGGGATCAGTTACCAGATATATTCATAATGCACGGCAATCCACGGTGGTATACATTAACTTAAGTAAAATGAAGCAATGAAAAAAAAAAAAAAATCTACACCAGGGGACAGCAACCTATGGCATGCAAGGCTATCGGACCTGAATGGACTAGATGTGGAGGTCAGAAGATCTACCCAGCCAGCCAACAGTGCAGGTGAGCCTGTGGTCTGCACCTCCACTGGGTGCAGATGCCACAGGGAAGCCTCTCTTGTGATCCTGTGCTTCAGAATGTTGCCATGGGTAACAAGGCAATGATCTGATACACTGGTAAGGCACCGGAGTGGAGACACAGGGGGTCAGCACACTTGGGAGGTGCAGCCACACATTTCACCAGGGATTAATGAGTATTTATGCCTCCTCCCTGGCCATAGCTAAGCATGGGGTTGGGGTAAAAAAAATAAGTATATAGTAAGTTTATTTCACTACACCCTCCCACTTCACCCTTGCAAATATCCCCCTGTGACGGATCACGTTTGAACTGGTGCAGGACTTAAAGTCCAACAACCTAAAATAGCAAAATCACTCTCCCTGGTTCATTCCTCTGTTCCATCAGTCCCCATGCAGTGGAGCCCTCTATTTTCCATCCCTGGGACTGCTCTACAGGACTGGGTCACCCGCGACTTCTCCAGCAGGATCAGGAGCTAACTGTCTGGATCTCTGAGTTGGACAAGTACAAAGCAGCCACCCAGTGCAACTTACATTTATTCCACTTAGTTTCCCGGTCCCCCAGGATAGCATTACTTGAAGGGGAGATGAGGAATATGAAGA